AAAAAAAAAAAAAAAAAAAAAAAAAAAAAAAAAAAAAAAAAAAAAAAAGGTCGATGAATAGAGCAGAAGAGAAAGATACAAGTGAAGATAAAAATTAAATATTTAATAATAATTATTTAATTCGAGAAATATGTGATCTTTGCAAAAAGACACGCGTTGTAAAGCTATGTATCATGTCAATTAAAGGCATAAATATACTGTGTATGTTATTCGTAATTGCCGTGTATACACGCAATACATATAGACATTACGTACAATATTATAAATATATCAAAAAAAATAAGAGACTGGACATACACGCGACTATCCCAGAGCTAGCGGATAGTAAAATTCCAAAAATTGTACAATCACGGTCGGATATCCTTTAGGAGGATAGTCCGAAAGTTATTTAGATTATAACTTTTCTGCGCATTTTTCTGCGTATCTGCGTGCTACGTGTGTGTGTGTGAACAAAATTCGACAAAAAAAAAAAAAAAAAAAACACCTGCTCAAACATACCACATATTTAAAATACACCGTCAGGATGCACTAACGTAATTATAAATTGTTATTGCCTATCAGCTTTTCCTTTCGATGCCGGGACGTACGATCGATCGTTTATAAATTCATCGTTCGTTCCAATTAGTTCGACATTTCTCACATTTTTTATAAAAAAAAGAGCAAGAAAAAAATGCATCAAGGTGATAATATTGTTCACACAATATAATGAAATAACAACAGAAATCGAATGTCCTCTCATTCGGGTGAAAAGAAAAAAGCGTATAGTCTGCGAAAAATCTTTTAGGAAATAACATTAAACCACAGACAGATACCCATTAGTACAGGGTTAATGACAATCGAGATCTTGAAGGAAAATTGCTTTTTTCTCTTCTTCCAGATTTTACGCAGTTTACTTTAAAAAAAAAAAAAAAAAAAAAAAAAAAACTTAGCATAACTATTTCGAAATAATCAATATCGTTTAACTCTTACCAGTCAATATTCTATTGTTAATGAATAATAATTTCAATTTATTACGAAATTGAAATCGTCACGCTGTTAGAAATTCACTATAGGTAAAAAAAAAAAAAAAAAAATAAAGTTCGTGTTCTAATATTTGACAATGATAGAAATATAAAACATACAAAAGGAAAGAGAAGGGGAAGGGAGGTGAGAAAGCAAACAGGCAAAACAGAAAATTCTGTACTAGTGTTGTAACGATTCGTCAGATACAAAAAGTTTAAAAAAAGAGCAGTAAGACGTTCCTGTAGATCACACTTGTAAATAGTAAAATAATCCTCATTAGTTTGCAAAAATGACCGTTTTGTCATATACATTCATAAACGAAGACTCGAGCATTGTTCTTCCATATATATATATATATATTAGTTCCAGTTAACTTTTTTGTAAATTTCTATTTTTTCCATTTGTTCAACAAATTCATTATATAATACTATATCATGCATTTCAATTTCGTATGCTTCTAAATAATATTTGGCATAATTTTAATTCATACTTTTCTATTTAAATCAAATTTCTTCTGCAAACTATTAACATATACAGTGTACTTGTACAAATGTACCTTCTCTTAGTAATATCAACAATGCTCGATATAATTTATAAGCTAATACGAGCAAATACTGAATTTTAAAACACAGTCTAATCAAATCTGACATTATAATACAAATGCTAATAATACTAATAAGAGGTGAATAATAAGAATGTTAACCATGTACGAATGATATTATATAACTATTGCTAAAAAATAAATTGTAAAGTTTATCATTCAAGTTTTTTTTCAAATATTACAATATTACTTTTATATTAATTTGAATTTATTTATATTTAATTTAATTTATTTGTAATCTAAAACTTTACATACAATTAAATGTATATAATATATTGGAATCATACATTGAACTAGAATTATTAATCTCTAATAAACTTTTATTTTTTTATTTAGTCGAAACTCTAGTACGCTTGTTCCATGAAAAGTTGGTACCATAACTACGAGGTTTAGGATTATTAACATTTGGTTTTTGAATATAATATTTCCATCCCATTTTATTACAATGTGCAATAGCTTCCTCCTTCGAAATAAATTCTACCTGAACATTAGACAAAGGATCTCCTCTATGGTGAAAAATGTGTCATTAGTTAAAATTTCTATAAATGAAATTTAATATGTTATATTATGCTTACGTAGAAGTCCATCCTATGAGAGGATTTTCCCAACGTTCACGCGTATCAAAATCTATTTGCCAGTAATTTATATTATTTGTTCCAGATTGCATAGCATTTTTTGCAGGGCAATAAATACGAACTGTGCGAGTCTTTATGTGCTCTTCTGGGACACCTGAACAAGTACCAACATCTTCATTCTCTCGTACAACAGCTAATGTTTCTTGCCTAGTTTTATGAGCTATATGAACTTCTTCAGGTACCAAGGCAACTGTGAGTTTTTTAGGCAATACTGTATCAGTTGATACTTGATTACTATCTTTAATATTTTTACTTGAATCTGCGAAAAATCTTGTTAATCTGTAAATCAAATAAAAAAAACAATTTATTTTGTTTCTCCCAAGATTTTTAATTATAAAAATATATTTGATTGTATATATGTAATTATAAAATTATTGGACTTGCAAAGAAAGTGACACAATTTCAAAAAGATTTATCATTATAAAAATGCAGAGACAGCCTTTAAGCAATTATAAAGATCTTATTTATTAATCTTTCCTGAATTTTGACTGATAGAAAGAAATTGTGTTACTTTTTCTGATTCATGATACTGTGCCATGTTCTATAAATCTCTTATTGGATTTTGTCTTGACTATCATTATAAACAAATCTGTTAATAAGGCAAGAAGCGTATGACTGTGAACTACATTCTGTTTCTTTAATTAACAAAATAATGTCTAATTCGAAAAGTTTTCGCTTTTCCCAAAAAAACATACTTTCTCGAGTTGTATCACTTTTTTCACAAAAGAACAACATAATATTTCTGAATTTTATTATATTTAAAGAAGGAGAAAATAAAAGAAGAATATTATATAACCAACCTAAATCTTGTAAAATTATTGCTTGGATTAAATAACGATGATACACGAAGTGCCATTTTGAACAATATAGGTTATGATAATGCACAAATGTCCTCCCGTTGTACTAGTTTCACTAACTAAAAAATCTCTTGTTGAGTAGCAAGTTTTTGCGCATGTGTTAACGTGTAAACAAAAAGAAAAAATAGCACATGAGAAATATTTACAAATTTCTAAAAATATGTTACGCTATAAAAATACTTAATCTATACTTAATCTACTACATAGTTAATCTATACTAAATCTAATACTATACTTAATCTCACTTAACACTGGAAGATTGATTTTATTTTTTGTGTATGTGTATTAAATTCATTTGACTCTACATTTTCACTTTAGATGTGTGACGTACATATGCGATTACAAATGTCAAATTACAATTGATTGAAATAACTTTGTCAAATATCTAATGTTGGTAATCGGCAAGACTAATATATGTATATTTTTTTGGAAATATTTTTCGTTTTGCGATTAGATCATATAGTCAAAAGTTATTCACTATATCATCCAAATAAAACTATTTATTTATACATGTATAAAAAAATAAAATAATTGTTATTACATATATACATCAGTATCACATATATACATAAAATTTATTTAGTTACGTTAATGGATGTATGGTTAGGTTAAGTATAAGTTACGTTTGCAGATTTTTTTCTAGGTTAGGTCAGAGATTTTTCACAGTCTATTTGTTGCAAATGAATAGTTGAAAATCGCATATAAGAAAACAAACACACTCTCCTATTGTATCAGTCACGTGCGTGCGACTGACGCTTATAAGAAATTCTTAAAAGAAAACAAACAATGTAACGCAGATTGTATCATATGTTTATTTACATGGTAATTAAAGGAATCAAAATTGAAAATGGTATTTTTTTTAGACTATCGTATAGACTATCGATACTCCCATTGAGATATCATCCTATAGTAAATATTAAATATATAAATATATACAGTAGTCCCCAGTTAAGCGTCCACAATTCGGGCCGAAAGTAGACGCTTAAGCGAGAGATGCATTCTGCAGATTGGCAGGAAAGAGGATGAACTGCTTCACCAAACCAAATTGAATATATCACTTGTTTTGTGTGCGCAAGTGTTATGTTTAATACAATCGTATGGTAAGGTAGCGTAAAGTGGGGATAGTCCCAATTTCAAGAATTGGTGTGGATAGCGACAGACGCTTAACTGGGGACTATGTAGTAAATATTTATTTGCAGAAGTAAATTAATAAAAATCATTTTATCAATCATCACTAATTGTAAAAAGAAAATACAAGAGTGCAGAAATATAATGTAGATAATTTTAAATAAGAAAATTAACAGAAATTCGTATGAAATATTGGTCAAGTTATATCAAAAAACATAAAATACTACGTTTTTAAATGTCATTATTGTAATTACAATTACAAATTTTGCTGTATTTTTTTTTTATTAATTACAATTATTGAAATTTCTTGCATAGCACATCAAAGTCTCGATCATTTAATGACGTTTGATAAATTCGAATGAAAACATGCCATCACTGCGCATGTGTTAACGTTAATTCGTGAATTTTACCATCTATATATTTTATAATTCCATGTTATGTTTACATGTTATTTGTGTTGCCAATTGAGCTAATTATCGATGAAATATTAAAATTCTTATTATTTTTACAATATTGAAATGATTCGTGTTTAACATTCGGTGCTATTTGTCTTTGTTTTGATTGAAAGTATTTTATAGAAAACAATAATTATTTTATATTGAAATGCCTGTTGATCAAAGACGCATCAATGGTCCAGAAGTATCTGTACCTTATTACATTTATTCTAATTTCGATAAGAAAAGTGACAAAGTGAAACATGATTTTAGTAAAAGAAGTGACAAACGAACCGACAGTGAAATGCGAAAAATATGTAAGATTGTCAATTACATCACAATTACGAAGCTATTGATAATTAAATAATAGAAATATAATTATTTGCTTATCTTTATTTTTACAGTTTTAAAAACAAGTATCGTTAGCCAAGCAAAGGGCTCTGCATTCATAGAAATGGGAAATACAAAAGTAGTTTGTTCGGTGTTTGATCCTAGAGAGTTATCAAACAAGAATGGTTATTGCACGCAAGGAGAAATTTATTGTGAATTTAAGTTTGCCCCATTTTCTTGTCAAAAACGGAAAATTCATCAGCAAAACGCTGAAGAAAAACAGTATAGTTTGATTTTACAGAGGGCATTAGAAGCAGCTGTTTGTTTGGTAAATATATGTATTTCTCAATCTTATTAGTAATTTAACATGAGAAAAGATACGTATAAAACATGTTTTATTAGTTATGCAATTGAAAAACTTTATAAATTTATATTATGTACATTAGTATAAATATAAAGAATGAAATATTTTATTAATATAAATAAAAGTATTTACAATAAAATTACATTCTTCAAAAAATCAAGATTTTGATTTTG